TCGGTTCTCATCCGCCTCGTTTCAACGGGGTCATGCCCACACTAGTGGGCCCCGAGCAGGCTCTGGTAATGGAACAAGAAGTAGATACTCTCTTGAGGAAGGGGGCCATAGAACGTGTTCCGCCTCTCGAGAGAGCGTCCAGGTTCTACAGCCGTTACTTCGTCATTCCGAAGAAGGATGGGGGGTTGCGTCCGATCTTAGATGTCCGTCTTCTGAACCACGCTATCAAATGGCTTCAGTTCAAGATGCTCACTATCAAGCAGATAGTATCTCAGATCCAGTCCGAGGACTGGTTTGTTACGATAGATCTCAAAGACGCTTATTTCCATGTTTCCATCCTCCCTCAACACTGGAAGTTCCTGAGGTTTGCTTTTGGGGGAGAAGCATACCAATATCGAGTACTTCCCTTCGGCCTGTCACTCTCACCCCGCACTTTCACGAAGTGTGTGGATGCTGCTCTGGCTCCAGGGCATCCGCATACTCAATTGTATTGACGATTGGTTAATACTAGCTCAATCGGAGCAGATGGTGGCTCGGCATCGAGATGTCATCCTCGCCCATATGAGAGAGCTGGGGTTAAGACTAAATGCCAAGAAGAGTGTTCTTTCTCCACTACAGAGAACCACTTATTTAGGCGTGGTGTGGGACTCAACCTCGATGCAGGCACATCTGTCTCCTGCTCGAATCGAGTCAATCCTCACGACAGTCACGAGAGTAAGAGAAGGCCAGTCACTCACTGTCAAACAGTTTCAAAGGCTGTTGGGCCTGATGGCAGCGGCGTCCAACGTGATACCTTTCGGCCTGCTGTACATGAGACCCTTGCAGTGGTGCCTCAGAACCAAGGGATTTTCCCCTAGGGGGAATCCGCATCGCATGATCAAGATCACGTGGTGCTCCGTCCAGTTCGAGCACTGGACGCTTACGCACACAGAGCTGAACCCGTGGCGTAAGGCAGATCAGCTATTTGTTTGTTTTGGTCTGCCAAAGAAAGGATCTCCGGTGACCAAGCAGACCACGAGTAGGTGGGTGGTGGAGGCCATCTCACTAGCCTACGAGTCCTCTAGCCTTCCGTCACCTATGGGGGTCAGAGCGCACTCGACCAGGAGTATGGCGGCCTCCAAGGCTTTCAACTTGGGTGTGGCCTTGCAGGACATTTGTACTGCGGCGTGCTGGTCCTCTCTGCACTTTTGTTCGCTTTTACAACCTAAACCTGGCATCTACCCCAGGTTTTCAAGCTCTCTCTTCGTGATGTGCTCGCAAGATACACACACAGGCATGGACTTTGTAGTATGGCACAGTGGGTATTCTCGTTCCCAAAGCGATCTCGACGCAGCTCGAGTTCCTGAAGGGGAACGTCTCTAGGTTACGTATGTAACCATGGTTCCCCGAGGGAACGAGACGCTGCATCTCTTTGCCATACTCCCTGCATCCCTCCAGGCGCTACTTCATCGAAGCTGGTTTGCGCTCTGCCGGATGCGCTTTTATACTTTCTGGTGCTTACGTCACCCTGCTCGTGACGTCGCGCTACTCCATTGGGCTGATTTGACACGTGCTTCAGAACACGGTCACGCAGAGGCGTTCCCAAAGCGATCTCAACGCA